TGAATTGGCCACTGGAATAGAACAAAAAACCAGGTTAGCCACTTATGTTCGATGTAACGCTGGATCTCGAATCTTACGGACTTGACATGTTGGAGTTTCTACTGACTTTATATGTCTCCTTCGTCGTGTAAGTCAAAAATCTCTTGCCATTGCACGTAGGTGATCAAGGCACTTACTGGTCGAAGAACAGGTTCCGGAATTGTGTCTAGGGTTAACCCTAGACAGCCAAAGCATCTGGTATCTTGTTGCTTTAAAAATTTTAATGACGAAGAGTGAGATTCAGCAGCCATCCATCTAACCTTCGTACCAAAATTACCGCATTTGTTTGATTTTCCCTTTCCAAGCACCCCCCCCCCCCTTCCCCTACACCTGTGTATCGTCTTTTGTTTTTCACTTCAACCGCTCAAACAATGCTTAAATCAAGTCAAAATCTGACAATTCAGGTGGCCCTACTTGCGTATAGTAAAAGGGTAGGTTTCAAAATTATTCTGGCAGTACAAATACATGCGTTGCAATGAGAGCGTACGCCAAATGTTATAACAACGTCATTGCTAATAAATTAGAGCAACACTGTAGTTGCTGATACATCTTCTAACCCCAAATTAGAAATCACAATAAACAAAATACTATATTCAATTACTTGCTTCACAAATAAAATGTAGTACTATGGAAGCCAATGAATTTTTCGGGTACATCTATTTGATATATTACATTACAACATAACAGACATCTCGTGCGTATAGCAGCCGAGCTGTGATCGTCTACTATTATTGAGGCTTCCTTTAACTTCAGGGACGTATAAAACATCCAACAGCGTAACAGACGTTTCGTCCATCAACATCAACTCGACGGTGCCAGCAGCAACTGCGTCAATCTTCGTGGCATCTGGAATCGCGATGCGGATTAGCATGTGCAGGCATTTAGTGGGCACGAACTTGCCCCGGACGCTGGTCATGTGCAAGCTTGCACCTGAGCCGATGAGCCATTCAGACTTGGTGATCACACTCGCAGCAGTGAACGCGAAGTCGGGCCTGCGTCACTTGTTCTCGTTCATCGTCGGCCTTCTTCTTTCGACACTCGAACGCCTTGTACCCTGGCTTCTAGCAGTAGAAGCACTTCCTATAGACG